GAGCTATATTAAGTTATATAGAGTATACTAAGTATTTCCTATTATATTGGGGCTTAGCTATATTAATAACTAGCTATTGCTATTATAAATAGGCATATTTGCCAGGCTGGCAGCTATACCAACCCATATAATAATTACACTATTAGGGGCTAGGTCAATTCAATCTTTACATAGCAGGGCAGCTATACCCCGCAACAGAGATACAGCACCTATAGGTTAAATAGTACATTCCCAAGTAAGATGCAGCTAGCGCTGCTAGAGCTCTATATTCAGGCATCCGAGAAATGGCATCAGTTTCTACACCTACATAATGAGAATGATAATATAACAATAGGCCCGCACACATCCAATCCCACTATAGCTCTTTTATCTACAGCATCAAAACATCCACTAAAACCCAGGCCTCTTTCAGCAGATACTACACCAGCCAAGAGGGTCTATATTAACCTGACGGATACTAGAAGGGGGGAAGCACCCAATCTACAGAGCAAGAGTACAAGTCGCCAAGAAAGCTTCAATCTAGACGAAGATATTCTTAATATACACCAAGAAAGTACAACACTAAGCCCTACTCAAGTTTATATAAGCCAGTCCCCAATTACATTACTAGCATTAGAGACACAACTAGATATTAGCCCCTTTATTTATCTTACTAATTATTTAATTATTATATATAAGTAATATTACTTTATATCTATTGCCCAAGAAGCAAGATCCCACCTAAAGGCAGAATATCCTAGAATTACAGTTAAGGAGAGAAAGAATATTATTGCTATTATTCAAGACATTCCAGGCCTTATTTAAGACCAGGCCGAATTACTTTAATAGATCTTGCCACTACTATATACTATACTCATTCTATATATCAAGCCGCCAATAAAAGACAATTTAGGGTATAATACCTACTTATATATCGTCTAGAGCTACAATTAAATAGTAAAATATTATTATAAAAAGCACAGTTAGATTAATAGCTAGAAATAAGGCAGGTATATAAAAAATTTAAAAGTAGATATACTAGCTATCCCATAAAAAAGCAATATTCAATACTAGCACCTTTTTAAGAGCCAGGCAGCTAGCAATTAATTTAAAGTTAGCCAGGAAATTTCTAGATATAATTAGTTAACTAATTAAGCTATAAATCTAGAAGTAGCTAATTACCTAATAGTAGAGCATATAAAATTAAGAGATAAGATTATAATATATAAATATTACCATACCACAAACATCAACATCGCCATCATCATAAAGCTATTTATACATTTACCCGAGTATCCATTCATCATTTACAAGCTATATACAGCTACATTTATAGCCGACAAAGTAATTAGTCATTTATAAGCCTAATATACAGTAGGGTTCACAGCACAACAAATTCATAACATCATACAGGCCATCCCCGGCATTATCCACAACTAAAAGGAGTTGCAGTAATAATTAGTACCGCCCCCCATAACAGCCCCGATTCCATTCATCCCCCCGCCGAAGCACAACGGGTTTGGATGTGAACAGTGCCCGTATGTCGCCCGTCAGATCCAGCGTATCCAGCAGCATTGCCGAGACAAGCACGGTTGGGTCAATGACCGCAAGCGAGGCCGATCTCCATCGGTGAGCTGAGAGGATTCAGTGGTCCAGGCGACGAGATCGTGTATATTGGGTATCCTGCTGAGTCATCAAACTTGGATGCGTTCAGCGTCAACATGCAGACCGGCAAAGTTCGTGCCATTACAAATCACCCTGAGTATATCGACCCTATTGATGGCTCTCCGGATGGCAAATGGTGGGCTATTATGGATACCCGAGGTACAGATCGACAGATGTTCCTATCCGGTATGCGTAATATCCCACCTATTACAGATCTGGTCTCCGCCGCTATAACCTCATCTACACGCAATAACGGTGCACGGCGGTTCTTTGTGCCTTACCTTCTCGACAACTATGGCGACCGCGGGTCATATTACGGCCAAAAGATCAACGGGCCGGGCTTTGATGTGTTAGGCAGCGGGTCATTAAATGATCCACAGTGGAACGGCCGGGCTGACCCTCGGTGGTCTCCCGATTCGACTAAAGTCGTATACTGGGAAGCCCAAACCGTCTCCCCTGCTTGCGGTGGCCCCAATCCTCTACCTTGCTTTCAGTCTAAAGAACCCCAGGGTAAGGATGTTAGAATGGTCTTGGCCAAGTTCACTAGCCGGACACCTTCCAAATTCATCCCGGTCGCCCCCGTGTCGGACGAAATCCCATGGGCCGTTCCCTACTTAGCAGGAGATCGCCGCCGGATCGGCCAGTACCACCGCCGGGCACGTATAGGCTCGCCGCCAAATCTTCAGGCTATGCGTCAGTCACCCTCGCTGGAGCAGCGAATTCCTCTGGTATTATTGGCGTAGCAGTCACTTACAATGACTACTCGGACGACGGGGAGACGTTCCTCAACGGTTTTGAGAATGTCACCACGATACCGATGGCATCGACCGTTGCCCATCTCGACTGGTTCTCCGATTTGGTGCAGACTGGTCCTAACCTCTATGCCACGAAAAAGTCTAGCCCCGAGGGCTTCGAAGTGGAGATCGATGTCTTAACAAACATTTTCGATTCGAATGGAACTCTAACGACAACCATTAATGGCGCGGTCTATGAGCAGCCTCTCAACGGGGCGTAAGCATGCCCATTTAATGCGGAGTCAAACTAGCCACCCAGTGTCAATTGATTCCTGGGTCATTTTTCACATGAATGTTAAACGTGAGGTTTCTTCCATGATGCTCTTCATCGTGGGAACACACAGCACATAAAAGAAACCTATGCGTGTGCCAGAGAGAGCCTTCAATACACCTGACCATGATATTGGGTTAGGCATCTACATTAGTTAATTGCACCAACTTCTGAACGATCAACATCTTCAGAGCTACTCGTTGCGGTGTTTTGTCATTTTTGTTTCTACCCCACTTCCCCTCTTCTTTGTAGTATGTCTGCTTATCGTAATTACCAATACAGTGGTAGGATGACCTTGTCCCACTTGAATAAAAGGTATCGAGTCCAGACCTGCACCAAGGCTGGGCGGATTCAACTGCCGAACACTATTGCGACGAAATGAATAAAGTAACAGGACGGCCTAATCTAAGAGATTATCCGCACAAGCCGCCTCACTCGCCACTTCCAACACAACTGGTCAGTGTTAAGGTTGTACTTCCAAGCATAACTCCGACACCCGACAACACATACAAGCTCTCGGTGGGATCATACTTCTGCTTGATCTCAAACAAGCGATCATAGCTTGAGCCGTAAGAGTCTTTCTTGAAGTTAGAATTCATGGGGTTGCCCTCATTCATGTAAGATCCGGTATTCGGCGCCCATTCTCTCCAGACGGCCTTGAAATTCTCCTCGGCCCACCTTGCCGCCTTGTTTAGGGTATCTTGTGGCGAGAGGGTCATATATAGAGCCGAGGCCATACCAATGGTGTGGAGGTAGGTGGTCCGCCATGACGGAAGCAGGGCGCCGCGCATGCTCGGGTCAACGTTTCTAGGGCCTGGCCCACCCTGGAGCCCGATAACCATGACATAAATTCCACCGGATTCTTTGCGTGTGCCACGTTCAAAGTAGGATCTCACTACGGGGATAGGTAAATCGGATATCTGCTCCTGACCAAGCGGTCGAGTTGACATGAAGGATGGAAGCCCGGCAGTATTGCTCGGGGATGTGATCCTATCGGTCTAGTATGCGACATACCCGGAATAAGTCACCGGCTCAGTCAAGAACGCCCTGAACGCGCTATCGTAAGGGGCTTGGGTCTGCATGAGAGCGATGACCGGTGCAGCTATTGTTCTCAACGCCTCTACCGTGGTATTGAAGACGGTGAATCCCATTGATATCGACACACCTTTGGCTGCGATTCCCTGGATGGTGCCCGCCCCCACGCCGGCGTCTATAAGACCTGGGATAGCAGATGCCAGTGCTCCGAGAGCATTCCATGAAGCGTTGAAGGCTGCTGTGCCATTCCCAACAAGTGACAATACGACACTAGCTGTAATGACGGCGGCTCGAGCAGGATAAGTTTTAGTAGACTCGGTCACAACGCCATACTGACCTGCCCCTCCGCCTCGAACGGCCCATAGTAAGTCTTGATTCTGCGTAGCATCGGCGACGGGGATCTCCCCCTGCGTGGTAACAACTCGCATCTGGTAAATCTGATCGGCGGCGAGGCGGTATGTGCTCGACAGAGGTCCGTGGCCACCGCCCTGGATATGTCCTCCAGGGCCGACGGTGGGATCATTACCACTAATGACTACTCTGCCGGCGTTCATTGCAGCTCCGAGGATACGCCCATAGTTGTTGCCACTGCCGGTGATGAGGACATTCCCGGTAGTATCTGAGCCGGGAACCGGCCACGAAGAGCTGACGGTGATTTGGCACATGTTAATAGTCCAGATGGAGAGAGCGTATGTGCCGCTCGGCCGATGTATTCCATCAGCATGTTTTGATTGTCATGGAGACAAGATTGTTCACCTTCCGTTCAAATCATGTCCCAGTACCCTTGATGACGATGCGAATGTTTCGGTCCGAGGCCTATCTCATCGCTGCAGCCATCTGTTTTGCTCTGCAGTCGCGTTGACGACATATTGTGGCATACCACCGATATCACATCCTTGGTTTTCCATGTAACCAACGACGCCTGGCGGTAAACACGAGTTGTTTACAAAAAGTGGAGAGCCGCAGGATTCTGGCAAAGCCGCATGGAACGAGGCTAGACTCCAATTGGCCGCGACGGCGTCACAAGAGTCGGGAGAATTGAATGGATTTCCCGGATAGCAGGAAGACGTGATGGGCTATGACTTGATCAAGACACCATCGATTGTGACGTTGAAGGCGGCCCATTCATCTGTCGACGGCAAGCCAATGTCTAAAGGAGATGTCTTACATTGTGCCTGCACCACGATGATGACGACAAAGGCGAGAGTGCCTGCGATGCGATGCATGATGTCTGGCTTAACAAGATGTCTTCCGGTGGATGGATGGAGTAGCCCTTTAATGGGTGGAAGATATGGAATTCGGCGTCTCTATATAAGGATGACATGGAGTTCCCTGGGATAAGCCACACTCGCTACATTGGGGTTGCCAATGGCATTAGGCATTGCCTTGCTGAGATGAAACATCACATGCTCGGATGTTGTCTCTAAACCGACGTTCGTATTTGGATACGAAAATCCATCAATTATCGGCACTTATACAGAATAATAATAAGTGATTAATATCGCAGTAGCAATACGGAGACGTTCCCCGCAAAGCAAAGCCTCCAGCCGCGTAATAATTCAAGGTCTCTCAGGGAAACCTCACAATCCGGCGATAATACCGTAAGGGACAGGCAAAGTTTACATAGGTAAGCCCAAAGCTATTTTCCAGTTCGTACCAAAAGGCATAAAGTCTATTCAGCATTAATATCAATTAGAATCTTCACATGATTATCTTTATCAGTGACAAGTGCCTTGATACCATCCTCAACAACATTTTCTAGCCTAATCTTTGCAGTAATCATATCATTTGGCTTAATTACGCCTTAAACCCTTATTAGCAATATTATCACTTGTAGATAGCTTTATAATATCTTACCTGTTCGAAGATGCTCAATAACAGCTTGAAAATCTTTGTCTTGATATCCAAGGATAGACTTATAGGAGCTTTCCTTAAAAGTTATCCAGTTAGGGTTAAATGGAATCTACTTTTTCCAGATTGCTACATTAATAATAGTTCCCCGTATCTTGACAGCCTCGCAAGCCTCCTTAATACTAAAAGACTGTTAGTTCAGCTAGATAATACCACGTCAAGAAAATAGAAAGACACACCTGGCAGGAACTCCAGCGCAATCGAAAACAACATCAGCACCTCTGCCTTCAGTTGCATCTAGAACGACCTGCTTGATATCGTCTGTAATAGAGTTGACAATCTGGGTTGCACCAAACTGCAAGGCAAACCTTTGACGAGCGGAAGCAATCTCTGAAACCAGAATCGTCTTGACGCCCTTGGCCTTAAGACACAAGATAGTAGCCAAGCCAATAGGCCCACCTCCAATAATCAAGACGATCGAGTCGGGGTTGAATTCAGGCGCGGCAGTGACGGCGTGCCAAGCGACGGAAAGCGGCTCAACAAGGGCACCTATCTCCAGAGTCAGGTTGTCGGGCAATAGGAAGACTTGGGCAGCGTCCACGCAGACAGCATCGCTAAGCCCGCCGCCTCCTCCGCTCAACCCCAGGACGCCGGTATTGTGGCAGACGTTCTCGGCGTTGGCGGCGCAGGCCACGCAATGGCCGCAAACCATTATCGGCTGCACGGCGCATCTCTGGCCGATCTCGAAGCCGGTGACGCCGGGCCCGATCTCTGTGATGGTACCGGAAAACTCGTGGCCGAGCGTGACGGGGATGCTCTCGCCGGTCACGGGGTGTGGTGTGGTAGGGCAGAAGGTAGGGCCGCCCAGATACTCATGCAGATCTGATCCGCAGATACCAACGAAAGCTGGGGCAATCTGGACACAAGCACCAAGTCAGCGTATGGTCTTCCATCTGTACTTGTTGCTACCGTCTGTTCGGGCTTCATTCCAGCCTCACCTTGACCTGGCCTGGGCGCACCACAGGCGCCGGAACCTGCTCGACGCGGACATCTTCTCTCCCGTAGTACCGTGCCGCCCGAATCATGGTGGGGAAAGAACCAACGGGGGTTTTGTGCATCGTATGTATGATAATGGAAACAATTGGGTCTTGGAACTCTTGAGGCTAGGTTAGGTACGATTCGATGCAGATACAACTGTCACCCCCTTTTATACATATAACATGGCCTACAGCTTGCGGGGTTCGGCATCATCTGACTCGATACCTTAGGAGGATTACCCACTAAAATGCCTGCAGAAACTAGGATATCGTCTCGTGATCTTTAGATCCAGCTTCCATCTCCGCTTCTTCCGTTTCTTTTCTGTTCCTGGACAGGCTGTCCGAGGCTTCGGCGACCCCGCACTTTCAACCCCTCAACACTGCCGAATGCCAGGCCATGGCATCAAAATGGTAAGGCCGAGCATTCGATTCAAATAGATTCGATAGATATCTAACCCCACCTACTTTGAAATAACTACCTCGGCACTGCTTGTACAATCATGTGCTAATACTATAACTGCTAAAGGTGAATAGAAGGGGCCGAGAGTGTATTGAATAGTGGCAAAAGAAAGTTTATGGAAATAGCTTCAGAGGCTGATAAATATTGTTTTAAAGATGGCAGTTGTCATCTATTGCTACATGCTTAGTTAGCAATTTCCAGTTAATTCCACATAGCATAGAAGAGGTATATAGAGCTTGCTTGAAAACCTCAAGCAGCAAGAAGCGGAATAACAAACACATAATTCACTCTAATATCTGACAGTAGAAACCTCGGATGTAAATACTTTGTCTAAACGCCATTTGTGAAATCATTTGCTGATATTATAATTATCCCGAAGCTAGACTGAAAAAGTCAAGAGTGTGGAACTCGGGTGTAAATACTTGCCGAGGCGCTAATTATGAAATCATTTGCTGATATTATAATTATGCCGAGGCTAGACCGAATAAGTCAAGAGTGTGAAACGTTGGGTAGAAATGTTTGCGGAGGCGCTACTTGTAATCTTATTTACTGATGCCAGAGCGAAACCAAATAATTCAAGACTTAGTCATACACATAACCTCTTTCTATATACTCTCCGAAGCCTCCCTACCTAGTTCAGGCTAGTAGGTTGCAGTATATTTATCTTATTAATAGGGCTTAATAGTATTGGAAAAGCATACAGCAATTCTATAGCTGAAATGGCTGCAATCGTCGCCGAGATAGAAGGACTGGGTCTTATTCAATGCCGAGCCAAAATGCGGGGTATTACTCTCTAAAATGGGGGTTATATTAGTTCGAAACTTAGTTTAGAGTATATCATAGACCAACCTCGGGACGAGGTTGGTAGGCGGCGCCACACAATACCAACGGGTAATCGGCAGCAGGTGACGGGGCTGCCGTCATAGGACCCCAATTAACGTGTAGTGTTTTTTTCCACCCGCTTGGGAGTCTGAACTGTGGTCACGGCGCTTTATAATATTGAAGTGAAGTCTATTAACAGACTTAGCATGCAGGTAACGAGCATGTGATCCAACTTCTTATAATAGCTCATAATTAGGTTCCTTGGAGTTGGTGCCGTTAGCAATGCATATAAAACCATTGCCTCACTTCTCTCGTGCCCACTTCCCCGCGATCGCAAACACACTACCTAGATAAATCGCCTATTGCTACCTCGTTCACTTCTTGACCATGTCTTCTAAGACCAATTTTCGAGTTATCATCGCTGGAGGTGGTGTCGCTGGTCTTACACTTGCTAATGCACTGGAGGTATGACCTGAATACCTATTGAGGTGCAAGCAGAACGGTTCTGACAATCAACTAGCAAGCCGGCATCGATTATGTGCTGTTGGAGTGCCGAGAGACAATTGCTTCTCAGGTCGGCACATCTATTGGCATCATGCCAAACGGCTGCCGTGTGAGTTCAGTCCTCTCCACTTCTAAACCCCTGGTTCCGTTTCTTGTGATCTAAATACGCAACGCTGACTTTCTCCCTAGATCCTCGATCAACTTGGACTATTAGATGAACTGATGGAAAAGATGGTGCGTAAATAACAATGATGCTTGTGGTTTCTCCCTTAACGTAGGATAGGAATCTGTATTATGGATGGCGGATCGCGACAATCGAGGGCACTTGATTTGCCCTCGATCTGACGTGAGTAAGCTTGGACAGGCAAGGTGAGTAGTGAACTTCCTTATTGGAGTCGCTATGGCTAATCATACAACAGGACTGGGTATAACGCCTTGTGGGGAGATAGCCAGATTCTCTTGCAGGCCTTGTTTGACAACGTCCAAGATGAAAGCAAAATCTTGACACGCAAGAACATTGTCGAGATCGATCATCAACCACACGGAATAACTGTCAGATGTGATGACGAGTCTTCATTTGAAGGAAACATTCTAGTCGGTGCCGACGGAGTTGCAAGCAGGGCCCGAGAAGAATTGTGGAAGCTGGCCGAACCGAGACAGCTAGAGCTGGTGAGACAAGACAAGAACAGTAAGTTCATTTGGGCACCTGTTTTCCCTGGTCTAGGTATCTCGAATTAGGACTACATGCTGACACGCTCGAGGCATGATTGCGTCTTCAGTCCAACACCTCGAAGCAGGAGACTTCGATATTGGCTACGACACCGATCAAAGTTCTCTCGTGGTAACCACCAAGAATGGAAGAGCCTACTACTTCATATTTGAAAAATTGAATGTGCAATATCCACTCAGGAATATCCCACACTATACTAGGGCGGAGACTGAACAATTCGCCATTCAGCACGGAGACATGCTCATTCGGCCAGATCTCAAGTTCTCTTACTTGTGGGAGAAGACAACTTCGTGCCAGCTTGTTGCTTTGGAAGAAGCCAAGTTCAAACTGTGGACGTGCGGGCGAATCGTGTGCCTGGGAGACAGCACATACAAGATGACTCCAAACGTTGCGGCTGAAGGCAATGTCGCAATCGAGAGCGTAGCGGCGTTGGCTAATTCGATCAAGGCTATGGTGGACCGACATGGCGGAGAACCTCCAACTGAGAGAGAAATCGAAGAATACCTCCGTGGATATCAGAAATGTCGAGAGGAGAGGGCGGCATCTGTCATCGACGCTTCTGCTAAGCATATACGCTTACAGGCTCTTCGAGGACCCCTTGAGCGCGTCTTCTTCCGGCTCTTCTTCCCTATGCTGGGCGACTTTTTACAAGACATGGCCAGCGACATGGTCATTGGTGCTACTATGCTTGAATATCTTCCACCGCCAAAGGCATCCCTAAGTGGAACCATGCCCTTCAACCCAACCCAGGGCGACGGTAAGAAAGAAAGTAAGGTGAAGAGAGCCCTGGCGATATTACCGATGCTTGGCCTGTTCTATCTCGCCTCTAGAGTATTGAACGCCGAGAAAGCATTCCCATGGTTATTTCTGGCGCTTGACACTGGCGAGATATCTCTGGATACCGACCGAATTTCCATATAGAAGACTTTCTACAATATCAACTGGCTGGACGAAGCGTAAGTTTTGTGCAAGATTCCTATTGTACTGATATACTAATCATCAATATTCACTAGATGGGCTCCGATTAATGTGTTCTTCCTGCCATTTATAAACAGGCATGATACAGTATCTCGAGGGCAGGTCGCCTCTTGCTTAACTAACTTGGGGATTATCATTACCATTTGGTCTATTGAGTCTGTTCGCCGGGCTAATACCTTAACCCTTGCTCAGCTGTATGTTACTATCCCAACTTACTGAATGTAGCTGACTCTGTTGCAGGCTATTTCTATTCACGCTACTCGGCCAATTCTTTGGCGTCGGTCTTCTAAGCCCTCTATATTACTTTATCCACTACATTAGCTCACCCATTAAGAACTTCAAGGCGACTAACATGAGACTAACGCGCATGAACTACATTCGGGCTATCCAGCCTGTAATGATTCTCGCATACTACATCCCAACTTACGCCATGCTATTTTGGCCATCGCTTCCTGTTCGCCAATCATAGCTATTTATCTGGCAAATGTTCCCCATCTGGACAGCTGTCGCGACTTTTATTTTCTCCTACGCCTTTCCCAACACGATGATGCAAGATAGGATCACTGCCCCGAAGCGTGACTTGCCATTGATTCGATACACTATCGGTACCTTAATCGTTCCCTCTGTATGCTTTTGGCTCAGGGCCTGGTTTACTGCCCCTTTTGGCACAGCGGCAGGTTTCCTCCCGCATACTTTGCCCCCTAATACATCCGACCTAACGGCCTTTGCGCGGGAGTTCTTAAAGTTCGACGCGGCTTTCGTATTCTCGGCCACGTTAATGTGGCTGGGATATCTCTTCTGGGACATGAAGCACGCCGGGATGGTCCAATCCAGCTGGCTGAAAATTGCAATTTATGCAATCAGCACAGCTGTTGTGCTTGGACCGGGGGGAGCGGCTGGGCTGGGATGGCTTTGGAGGGAAGACATAATCACTAACAAGAGACACAAGGCAGCTGTTGTTCAGGGAACCGCTACTAAGTTGAGATGATGCCATATTATAGGCTGCTCCAGAAGTCATCGCTAGATCCGGACTACAACGCCGAATCAGGAAATTGGAGCTAAAGGCTTCCCCCTTAACCCTGCGATCATGTGTGCTGAAGTCAGCCCCCCGGATATCCCCTGTTTCTTAAAGAGGACTGTTGGATTGTCACCCTGTATTGCGAAACCTCTGATAGATCGATGTCCTGACCTTAGTCAGAGGGGGCGTGAGATAAGATAAAACGCCTCTCGAGAAAAGAGGGGGCCGGAGGATCCGGGATCAATACAATGATCATCCTTAGTCTCCACATCGTATTGAACACTATCTCTGTGATCGAATGTGCCGTACGCTATCCAACAACGACCATTAATAGCGGATGCAGTTGAGCTACCTGTTGTTAACTATCTTCACTTGCGTCTTCTCTTCCCAGCTTAGACAGTAGGCAGTTGTTATGTATTCACAGGCTCTTGCTGATCGTCGAGTTATACCTTTGCTGTTTGGAATTCGGACGCACTGTTGGGTTAACCAAAGGGATGTGAAGTCCGCCATCATAGTCTGCATTCGAGTGAAATACCACTCAATGTAGATGAATCTCGTCAGTATCAACCATACTTTATTAGCTCACACTTTAGTTAATACGGCGTATTCGCTAGCGGTCGGCCCTGTCTTTGCTAACACGGGGCCTATTGTGGTCCGAGCCATCGGCGCGACTGTGAGGAGGAGATCTGCATTAGTCTTCGCGTGGACAGAATATAGTAGAGTAGTGTGATGCTCCCCACCGCCCCGCAGCAATTTGTGAAATCAGCCCACGCAACATTGACGGCATCGTAGATTCCTGGGTCATCTCATGTCATATCAGAATATTTTATATGTAGAAGAGTACAGAGCCCCCCCTCCACCCCCAATACCAGGCTTATATTTATGCGTGTGTGGGCTGAGGTTGTAAGGGAGGAGCTACATCTCTCTATATGCGGGCGAACTAGAGAAGGAATCTGCCGATGTAGACCCAATGCCGGGAGATTTGGCAAATGCAATGGCATTCGGCCTTGAGCATTACCCCAAGTATACAAAATCATCAAACTAGTATAAGAGGGTATGAACTGTTAAGACAATTAGTATATTTATGCATAGTATCTATTCTTATATATAAGTAGCTTTCTTTCTACTTTTAGAAACTGTTGGATCCGATACGGTCAATTCAATCGTTGTAATATTGTTCAAATTGATGATGATTCTCCTGATCGATCCGGGTCATCCGGATCAGCCGGATGAGGGGCCTTTTGGTCTCGTCATCATGACTAAAGACCAGATATCAATCTACTGAAGGTTTCCTTGTACAGGGTCTCCCTCCAACACACCCCCCCAGCTTGAAGCTATTCAGGTTCAAGCTGCGGTCTTCATATCTCTAGATCGTCATCCATCAGGTCTTTCAAATCCCTTTGTTCTAGCCGATCTGTAATATCTATCAGACCTAGCTGTTTGACTGATTGTTGAAATGCCGGGCCTACTAGGACCTTAGTGAGACTATCAGCGATCATTTCTTCCGTACTGATGTAGTCTACTGTGATCCTATTCCTCTGGGCTTCCTGCCTTAGCCAATGATTGTGTATATCAACATGACGTAGCTTGGTCTGTAGCCTGTTGATATCTTAATGGATCAGACGGATCGTCTGAAGGTTGTTACATTGAATGTGGATTTCTTCCTCTTCCAGCTGGATCCCTAGCTCCTTAACCAGCCGGGAAATAAACATAGCCTTGCCGGCTGCTTGAGATAGGGCTAGGAGCTTGGCTTTGGTCGTAGACGTAGTAACTGTAGCTTGCTTGTTAGCCCTCCATCCGATCGTCCCTCCAAATAGTCTCATAATATAGACTTGAGAGCTTTTCTGATTAGGGTTGTCTATATAGAAAGCATCACTAGCTATGAGAAACTGATTGTCTTGGCCGAATTGAAGGGCTAGGCTGTTAGTCTTCTTAAAATATAGAAGGGCTTGATTTGCAGCTCTATAATAATCCAGTCCTGAATTTAAATTGAACCTAGCTAGCTGTAATATAGTAAAGGCTGTATCGGGCTGGGTTATGATAATAATATAGAGGATTGATCCGATCTTCTATTAGTATCATCTTGTCAAGGAAATTAAAGCTTGTTTCTTATATAGTTATAGAGAGTTCTTTTTTATAGAAGTCTTGTACTATTAATCTAGGTTATCTACTAGATTAGCAATTTTATTAAAATATAAGAATTGGAATAACTAGATTAAGCTAGCTTTATAATCTTAAATAACCTTAATTTTTAAAAACTACTAAAGGTTCTATCTACTAGTTAGCTTATAATAAACTTTAAGACTGGCTATAGCTATTTAAACCTCCTTCTATTTTTTCTTTTAGTAGGTAAAAATAATATTATTAATATAAAAAAAGATAATAATTCTATTCTTTATTATATAATAAAGTTTATACTAAATTAACTTAAAGTCTAGCTTTTTTAATATAGCTATAAGTTTCTTCTATTAAAAAAAAGGGAATTCTTATAAATTATATAAGACTTTCTAAATTAGTAGAATCTTTTTATTATAACTATATCTAAATAGCAGCCTTATTAAAATCTAATAGTCTAGCTTAATATTAATAAAGATATTAATAGTATTATACTATATAAGATCTAGATTAAAGTAAGCTGCTATTATAATAAGTAATTAAAATAATTATTTAGCTAGAGTAAAGATATAAATCTTTTTATCTAGCTTTTTTAACTATTAGTCCCCTTAAATAACTAGCCTAGCTTTATACTTTAAGTAGTAGCTATATTTATTAAACTTATAAATATAAACTTATATATAACTAAGAGTTTATTTTTTTAAAATTCTTAAATTATCTTTATTAATTTTAATTTAAAACTTTATTTTCTTATAACTTTATAAATAGTCTTATTTAGCCTATTTAAATTAAACCTCTATTAAATAATTCTAAAAATCCTAATAATACTATAATAGTTATAAAAGCTAGCTATAATAAATAGATCTAGATTTCTTTAATAGATATTATAACTTAATCTTATTAATAACCTTTTTATTAAGAGTATTAATAGGCTAGCTAGTCTTTTTATATTAAAGGCAGCTTTTAGACATTAAATTATTTAATTTTAGAAATTATAAAGTTTCTAGAATTTAAGTTATTAAATTAATTAAATACATTCTAAATTATTATTACTAGAAGTATTACTAGTAGTAAAGATATAGGCATTAGGTAGTTATATTTATAGACTTTAGGGAATTTAAATTAATTGCTATCTAAGGTATTATATTCTTCTCTAATTTTCCTTAAGAACCTTCTCTAATTTTATTACTAAAAAGCCCTATAATTCTAGTAAGTTAATTAAACCTAGCCTCTAAAAAATTATCTTTATATTTCTATTATTTAGTTTATCTATATATAAAATAAATTAATCTTTTTAGCCTGATTTTTAGAATTTAAATTAGTTAAATTATTCTAATTCTTATTATAGATATTATTTTAATTCTTATAGTAGGTTAATTTCTATCTAGTTATTAAGCTACTAGCTGTTTCTTCTAGTAATAGATTTAATTAAGTTACTTCTACTTAATTTAATAAGTAATCTAGCTCTTTCTTTTTAATATATAATAATTATTCTATAACTAGTTAATATCTTTACTAAATTAGTTATTTTTATTAAAAATAACATCTCTAATAAAATAATTTTTTAATAAATAGATTTAAATTTAATAAATATTAATTAATTAATATTTTATAAGATAGCTAATCTAGATATAGAAATTTAGCCTTTATTACTTCTTCTTATTCTTTAAAATATCTTAAATTATAGTAAATATCTTAAATCTATAAACTTATAAGTAACCTAAATAAAAAACCTTATATTTCTAATATAACTATTCTATTAAGCTATAGCTATATAAAATTAGATATATAGATATTCTAGTTATTAATTACTCTAGAAGTTTAATTATAAAAATAAATAGCAATCTTATAAATCTTAACTTAAAGAAAGAAAGAAAATTAAACTTCTAATTATAAGACTCTTATCTTAATTTTAATAACCTTATTAAATAGCTTAGCTTTGCTATTCTAAGTAGCTATATCTATAGCTATTAACTCTATAATAATACTTATTCTAATAAAAACTAATATATTATATAAGAATAATCTTCTAATTTTTCTAGAATTTCCCTATTATATTTAACTACTTATAATTTTAAGTTAAATTAATAAAGAAGGTAGCTTAAAAAGGCTTTAAAAATCTTTACAAGCTCAACTTACTTTTAAATCTTAAAATAATAATTCTAGATATAATTAAAATAGCAGTCTATTATTAATAGCAGACTAATATATCTATTAAAATTACCTTTTAGATTATAAAAGTTAATTATTAATTTTAGCTTAAGTTTAGCTAGAAAGTTTCTTAAGACCTAGCTAACTTATTAAGTAATCTTAAAAGTACTATAATTATTATAGCTAATTATTATAATCCCTTTAATTTAAGCTTCTATAATCTTATTAATAAGTCTTTCTAAGACTTAAAATTCTAAATAACCTAGCTATAGATACTAATAGTATATATCTTACTTAATTATCTTAAGTTAGATTATTAAATTAAACTAGCTATATTAAATAGAAAAGATAGTATTAATAGAAATATATTCTAAGATAAATTAGGTATAATAATTAAATAAGAAGTATATAATCAAACTATCTAGAGATTTAAAATAGTTAAAATCTAAATATATATCCTACTAATAGCCCTATTATTATAGCTTTTATAAAAATACTAGATTATAAGAGAAGTTAGAGTAATAAGCTATATTATTTAAAGTAATAACTTTAAGGCTCTTAAGTTTATTAATTATAATATTAATTTTACTATATTCTTAAATTAGAACTTTATATTTTTAGTAATAAAAATATTAAGAAATTTAGTAGGCTAATATTCTAGAAATTAGTTAATTTAATTAAAGATATAAATTATAATTTTAAAG